ATCAACATGCTAGGAACACCGTACTCCTAGGAGCTGGGGACCTCCGGCACTCCCGCAGGCAAGGGGGACAACACCAGCTCCTCATCAGGTGTGGGCATGGAGTATTCTAAACAGAACTGTGGCGTCTTCAGCACGGGATGCCTATGGGGCTGCAGGAAGCCTGATGGGGTGACGCATGCTTAGGTGGCACATGGATAGCATTTAACATTTCATCATGGACTTAAGGACTTTAGGTGGCTGAGGCGGTAGGATCCTTTGAGTTCAGGAGTTCAAGACCTGCCTGGGCAACATAGCAAGACCCTATCTCTATAAGAAAAAAAATAAAAATTAAAAAATTAAGTTTCGGCCAGGCACGGTGGCTCATGCCTGTAATCCCAGCACTTTGGGAGGCCAAGGCGGGCAGATCACCTGAGGTCAGGAGTTTGAAACCAGCCTGACCAACATGGAGAAACCCCATCTCTACCAAAAATATAAAATGAGCCAGGCGTGGTGGCACATGTCTGTAATCCCAGCTACTCGGGAGGCTGAAATACGAGAATTGCTTGAACTTGGGAGGCAGGGGTTGCAGTGAGCTAAGATCGCACCACTTCACTCCAGTCTAAGCAACAAGAGTGAAACTCCAGCTCAAAAAAAAAAAAATTTCATCATAGACTGATGAAATGTTAGGTGGCTGAGGAAGAAGGATCCTTTGAGCTCAGGAGTTCAAGACCTGCCTGGGCAACATAGCAAGACTCTATCTCTATAAGAAAAAAAATAATTAGGCTGGGCGCGGTGGCTCATGCCTGTAATCCCAGCACTTTGGGAGGCCGAGGCGGGCAGATCACGAGGTCAGGAGATCGAGACCATCCTGGCTAACACGGTGAAACCCCGTCTCTACTAAAAACTACAAAAAACTAGCCGGGTGAGGTGGCGGGTGCCTGTAATCTCAGCTACTCGGGAGGCTGAGGCAGGAGAATAGCGTGAACCCGGGAGGCAGAGCTTGCAGTGAGCTGAGATCTGGCCACTGCACTCCAGCCTGGGCGGCAGAGCGAGACTCCGTCTCAAAAAAAAATACAAAATACAAAAATTAGCCAAGTTTGGTGGTGCGCACCTGTAGTCCCAGCCACTCAGGAGGCTGAGGCAGGAGAATCGCTTGAACCTGGAGTCGGAGGTTGCAGTGAGCGAAGATCACGCCACTGCACTCTAGTCTGGGTGACAGAGCAAGGCTCCATCTCAAAAATAACAATCATAATAAATAATAATAATAACAATGATACAAAATAAAAGGCTAGCTGGGAAATTTCCAGCTTTTGGGGATAGACTATCTGTTGTGACTACTCAGCTCCACTATCACAGTGTGAAAGCAGCCATAGACAATGTGTAAAGGAAGGAGCGTGGCTGCCTTCTGAGAAAGCTTTCTAAAGACAGAAGACAGTCTGGGCGCAGTGGCTCACGCCTGTAATCCCAGCACTTTGGGAGGCCAAGGCGGGCGGATCACCTGAGGTCAGGAGTTGAAGACCAACCTGGCCAACGTGTTGAAATCCCGTCTCTACTAAAAATAGAAAAATTAGCCGGGTGCGGTGGCGGGAGCCTGTAATCCCAGCTACTCAGGAGGCTGAGGCAGGAGAATTGCTTGAATCCGGGAGG